CCCGCCGCACCGAGAGCTCGCTGCCATTTGTGGGCGTGCTGCCGCCGCCGCCCTTGAGACTGGCCACCTCCTCCCGCAGGCGTGTGTTCTCATCAGCCAAAACCTGGGGGATGGGTGGGCGGGTGGGTGCGTGGTGTGAGCCAGCCTGACATTGTCTTTTGTTGTTGTTTTGGTGCCAAGAGGAAGACGCGACAGCCATGCCGTATGGCTGGGGACTCTGTGTGTGTGTTTGTGTGTGTGTGTGTGTGTGTGTGTGTGTGTGTGTGTGTGTGTGTGTGTGTGTGCGCCCGTGCATGAATTGTGCTTTCCGCTGCCGCCCGCTGCTCGCGCTCGTGACCACCCCCTTGCACCCCGCTTTCAACACTTGTCGTCAACCCCAATGCACATACCGTCATGCTACGTCCCTTCAACATCCCCCATCCCCTCAGCATAACACACAAACACACACACACACACACACACGCGCGCGCGCGCGCCCGCACGCACGCCCACCTCCATCTTGGTGCTCATGCTGGCCATCTGCTGCGCCACCTCGTCGTGCCAGCAGCCCATCAGCTGCGCGTTCATCGACAGCATCTGGGATTCAGGGGCCGGGGAGGGGGTTGACGACATGCAGGGTGAGCGTTTTGAGAGGCTCAAATGTGGTGATCTGTTGCATGGGTGGTTGTATGGAAAAACAAATGAGCAGAGGTCTGACGGCGACTCGCGCCGAGCCTGAGCTTGGGCCCATGTGTGCTGGCTACCAAAGCCAGAGAGGATGCCTTGACTTGCGGTGGCAGCCACGGGGCGCGCGCAGCCGCTGCACGCAGACTGCCCTGCCACGCCCTCCGGTACCTCGAGATGCAGGCAGCCGCCCCTGAATCGAGCAGGTCAACGCCTCGCCCACACGTGCTGCGGACCTATCATGCTCCGCGTGCTCAGCGTGTGCCGCCGCGTCGCCCCTTGACCTGTGGCCCCCTTCAAGGCCCCTGCACCCTCTCACTGTCAGCCACACGCACTGACTGCGCCGCGCGCGCCGCAGGCACTGAGCGCGTGCCCACCTGCTCCAGGACCTTCGCGACCTCCCCCTCGGCCGCCTTGTTGGACGCCTTCATCTCAGAGAGCTGCGCCACCAGGTCCCGCCACCGCGGCCGCGACGCCGCGCGCCGCGCGTCCGCGCCGCCGCCGACGTCGTCGGCGCCGCCGCCACCCGAGGACGTGCGCTCCGCCGCCGCCTCCCGTGCGCCCGCACCGCTGCCCCCGCCGCCGCTGCCCTGACCGTCGGCGGGAGCGCTTCCTGCAGCCGCCGCCGCACGGCGCGCGTCCGCATCCCCGCTGCCCCCACCGTCGGCTGCGTCAGCCGTGGCGGCAGCTGCGCGCCCCGCGGCGCGGTCGCTGGGTGCGCTGGTGCTGGCAGTTGTACTAGGCGCCCCTGCGACGATGGTGGGGGGGCGTGCGACTTGGTCCGAGGCGGACCGGGCGCCGCCATTTCGCGGCGCCGCATCGCAGCTGCTGCCTGCAACATAAAAGGCGGATGCAGCTTGCCACCATGCACGGTCAAACCACACTGTGATCATTCGGACCGGTTGGCGGTGCACTTAGCACGATAATCTGACGGCATCGGCCCCGCCGCCATGGCCGCCCTAACCCCCAACCCCACGCACCCGACCCGCGGCCGTGCTCGCTGACGCCGCCCAAGAGCCCCCTGTGCTCCTGCTGCATGCGCTTCAACCGCTCAGCCCTACGCTTCTGCCGCATCATCTCCCGCAAAACGTCGATTACCTCCTTGGGCCGCTTGCGCTCTGCTTGTCGGTTTGGAATTGGTGGTGGGTACGGAGAAGAGGTGTGAGCGTCTGCATGAGCATGCGTGCAACAGGCATGGAGCACGCATGCATTCTTCATGCATGGAGCAAGCATGCATGCGTGCCCAGGGGACTTTCAAATGCATGCACATGCGTGAGCCACGCTGTCTCAAGAAAGCTACGCATGACGCATGGTTGCCCTGCATGCAGCATCAGACACGTTTGCGAGGCGCGCGGCGCAGCTGCCAGGGACGAGCGAGGCACCGGGCCGGCCTGCGTGTGGCCCCACGACGCAGCAGGCGACGCACCCGAGTCTGGCAGGTCGGGCGCAATGGTGACCGAGCGCCGCGCCGCGCCGCCAGCGCTGCCGCCGCTCCCCGGCGACCCGTCGCGAGCATCCGAGCTGCCGCCGCCGATGGTATCAGCGCCCGCGGTGGCGCGCTCGCCGCCGCCGTCGCCGCTCGCCGCGCCGCCCTGAGTCGTCGGCGGGCCGCCCTCGGCGGTCTGCTGCGAGTTCGCGGAGGCAGGTGATACCTTAATTGGCGCAGAGGCCCGCGGCTGTGGTTCCTCCTCCGGGTGGGGCTGCTGCTGCTCTTGCTGCCGCTGCTGCTCTTCCTTCGTCCGCTGCCGTCTGCGTGGCTTCTGGGGCTTCTGCCTGGTTTGCTGTTGCTCCTGGCCGTTTCCAGCCTGGGTGCCACCTTGTGCGTTGTTGACCTGCAGCAGGTCCCGCGGCGCACGGTCAACGCGTGCGGGCCCTCGCCTCATCCACACCCACAAATGCGTGTGATAATTGATTCTGAAGGTTGCCTGCAAGCGGCTGCCGCAGTGTCTGTGCTCGGCTGAGTCGTCTCGTCTCAACCGAATGGCGATTCTGACGCCGCCTCACCTGCAGGCGCAATGCCACGCGCCGCTCTCGCTCCAGCGCCAGCAGCTCGACAGAGATGCTGAGATCCTCTTCGCCATTAGGGGCTACCTTGCGGGCCCTGCACCTTCGCACCCTGGCCAATACACCGCCAGCCACCGCGAGTGCGCACAGAGGTGCACCCCCGGCGAGCAAGGCGACCTGGAAAACACCCTGCATCTCGAGTAGGTGACCGCCGATCAACGTACGACTTTCGGCGAGACACACCGATCTCGCAGGAGCGCGGGAGGATGGTCCTGGTATGCTTCTAGGGGTGCACCTTGTCAAATCGGCTGTGTATTATGAGACTCCTGCATCAGACCCTGCATTGATGCCTGTAGACTGTGGCGTGCTGGGTGAGGCCTGCTGGTTGACAGGTGCCAATTGAGTTTTAGTGATGACGACCTGCACATGTGCTGTACGGACGCACAGATTGTCTGCACAGGCTCCTCTGAAAGTTACTGGCCACCAATTTGAATGTCCATCCTGCCGCACGCTGCTGGTTACACGGCCACCACTGCTTCGCTCTGGCCCGGGCCCGGCCGCCCTCCCGCCAGCACGAGCAGCAGCCATGCTGCCGCCAACAGCGCCACCCAGAGCGCCACCAGCGCCGCCGCACCCCGCAGCGCCCCCGGCCGCCGCTGCGCCGCCGCCGCCTCCACCATGGACCTCAGCCCCCCCTCGACCGCCGCCGCGCCCGCCTCGTGCGCTGCAACGAGCTCGGCCAGCCGAGCCGCGCCGCCGCCCTCGGCACGCACATACGCGGCGAGCGCTGCCTGCGGCAGGCCCCGCGGATCCCTAATCTCTGCCAGGTCAGCGCTGCACCGCCGCAGCGCCAGCTCAGCGGCGTCCCCCGCGCCGGCGCCGCGCGCGTCGCGCGCCGCCGCAGACCAGCCGGCGCGCAGCAACGCGGCAAACGCGGCGCGCGCGTAGGCGGCTCGCGCCGCGTCTGCCGCTGACTCAGCCAGCAGCTCTCGCACGTCCCTCCTGCGCGCCTCGCCCTCACCCTCGTCCTCCTCATCCCCTCCTCCGCCGCCCCTCCCGCCCCCAAAGCCCCTCCCTGGCCGCCGCCGCCTCTGACGCCGCCTGTTTGCAGCCCCGCTGGCGTCGGCTGGTCTGCAGGAAAGTGCACCCGCTCTTCCAGGCAAGCCACCACGACATGCAGCGCGGTCGCCCCGCCAGGGCCCCGCAGATCTCGCGTAGCGCCGCTCCCGCCGCGTCCGCCGTGACCACTCCCGCTCGCGCCGCCGCCGCTGCTGCTGCCGCCGCCAGGCCGCCCCTCAAGCAGCGCCTCCAAGCTGACAGGGCACTCGTCCTCGCCGCCCGCTTTGCCGGCTGCTGTGCCGCCCGCGCCGCTGCGTTCACACCAGCCGTCGCCGCCGCGGTCCAACGGCGGCGGGCGCAGGCGCGCCAACAGGTGATGCAGCAGCGGCGTGCCGCCGCCGACGTCGGTGTCGGCATGCAGGCCCGCGGCGACGCAGCGCCGCAGCAGCGGCCAGGGGACGCCGTCTGGCAGCTCAAGGGAGGCGTGCAGCAGCGCGGCAAACGCCTCTCCGGGGTCTGTGCCAGAGCGGAGCGCTGGGTCGTGGGCAGGGGGGAGGGAGGGGGG